ACAGGAACTTGCAACGACTGCAAATACGTAGGTACGGTTAAAGCCAGCCAGCATTGTTATTACAATTAGAAATCGAAACTGGAATAAATCTCAACTTGCTACGCTAAGAAATAGCTAAATTCTGACTTGGTCAGACTAAGAAATAGGGAGTTTGAAAGCAGCCCGGGCAACATGGCGAAACCCTGTCTCTAAAGAAATTCTGGGTGTGGCGGTGGGGAGCTTGTAATTCCAGCTGCCCGAAAGACTGAGGCGGGAGAAATACTGGAGGTTGCAGCGAGCCGAGATCGCACCACTGTACTCCAGCCTGGGAGACGAAAATGGACAAACAAACCAACAAACAAAGTTAACATTCTGAATAGGTTTATCAACATAAAGACACTGCTAGCTAACATTGGCTAGCATCTCTAGATCTGCTAGAGATGCTGCCTTTCTAGATCTGCTTACCATGCTTCAGTCACCTCTATGTTGCAAGAAGTAACCTGTATGGACTGCACTGGAGAGCTACTTTTGCCACCAGGCTTCTGATTGAGTTTAGGCTCTGAAAAACACCAGCTCTTCAGAGATATGGAGTAGACTTGCTTTGTTCCCCCTGGGCCTCAGTGTATTGAATTATTTTACCTGAAGTCAAAGATACGCTGCGCTGCGGCTCCAACAGGTCCAGCAGACACAGGGAGGGCAGCACTGAAAGGGCAACACTTCGTCCTGGACGTCTCAAAGTCCAGCCCCTGGTGACCCCGGCAGCCATCAGCCAGACCCTCTGAGGCCACAGCTGCCTCACTTCTCACTTGAGCCATCTTCCCAGCATAAATAACCGCTGCCTCCTCCGCCGCCGCCCTCTCCTCACACCCCCTGTGAATCTGAAGCCTGCACGCAGGAAAAAGCAGCCCCTTTTTCCTCCAACCTCCCCACCCCCAACTCTCAGGCGTAGAGTGTGCTTACTGTCAGCTCTTCCGGCTCTTATTCCAATTCGGGAGCCCTCACAGGCGTCTCTCCTAACTGGACCCTAGGGACCCTGAGTCTACTGAAGCCAGGAAACCCACCCCTTGAAAACCTCCAGTGACTTCACAAGGATACCCAGCCCCTAATTGAGCAAGAGACCATTCCCTGAGGAAAGAAAGTTCTGTGGTGGCTTATAGGTTCTTCTTTCTTTTTGGGACCTCTTTTCTCAGTTCTGCTCATTTCACTCCTCTAGTGGGAAGACCTCAACCCTCCTCTCCCTTCCTCTACCCACTGTCGAGGTACACACACACACAGACACACACACACACACACACACACACACACACACACCTGGGGCTGCTAAACTCCTGGGCTGCGCACGCGCACACACACACACACACACACCTGGGGCTGCTCGATGTTTCCCTCCTCTGTCTTCCTTTGTCTTTCCTGTGCAGCAGAAGGTGGATGTTGATCATCATCCACCTTCAGTGTCCTATGCTCCCCACACAGAGGAGACAAATTGGTGAAATGGGATTGATTTTTGTCCTCTGGTGGATCAGCAGCTGTCCTGGTTTCTGCCTCACACACCAAACGATGTGCTTGACTGCTTTTTTCAGCTTGAGTTAACCTGCTGATCCATCAGCATAGCCTATTACAGATAGAATCCAGGTTATCTATGAGTGCTGGAGACAGCCACATGCCACCCTGGAAGTCCCTCACAGCTCTTCCTGGTCTTCTTTTCTCAACCAGGAGATAGAGGAAGAGCGTCAATAGGGCTGGGAAATCAATGACTACCTGAGTTTCCTAACTTCCACATCACTTCTGGAGCCATGCCAGTTAGGGATCTCACCAGTCATTTAATGTGCCCTCGGGGAGACCATTGTAGTAGCACTTGAAATCCCAGAGACAGCGAGGGTCCCACTGAAAGCACCTGGCACAGTATTCCCTGGTAGAATTTGGAATCCAGTTTTCCATTGACTGTTGTCAATTTGAAACCCAAAGAAATCAGCACATGTGCTGCTCCTCTGGAAGGTCCAGCAGACACAGGGTCAAATCCTGTAAAATAGTTGATGATGTTTATTATGAACCAAATGTGAGTGACCATTAGCCCATAAAACAGCCCTCAGGAGATCCTGAGAACATGTGCTTCCGGTAATCAGTGCACAACCTGGTTTATATATATTTTAGGAAGTCATGAGATCAATACATTTAAGGTATATATTGGTTCAGTCCAGAAAGGCAGCATAACTGGAAGCATGACCTTTCAAGTTGGAGAGGTTCAAAAATATTATGATTGGCAATTTGTTGCAATAACTATTATCTCTAGAAAGGAACGTCTGGGTTGCCATAAGGTGTTCCAGAGACAAAGGTGTCACAGATGAAGCCTCCAGGTGGAAGACTTCAGAGAGACAGATTGTAAATATTTCTAACCAGACTTCAAGAGTCTGTTCTATCATTAATTTTAAAAGAGAGGAAAATAAAATGAGGCATGCCTGACTCCCCCTTTACAGCATGGCTTGAAACTGCTTTTTCAGGATAACTTTGGAATGCCCTTGGCTGAGAACCTCTTGGTGGCAGGGGGGCTTCAAATTTTATTTTTGATTTACAATAGCAATGAAGTAATAACCACATTGAAGTTTAGTAAATGAATGAGCCCTCATCCACTATGGTTATGTTTATATCCTGGCCTGAAAATCAATTTGTTTCCTCTTTTTATTGTTTTCTGGAATTATTCCTGGATATGAGGACTCTACCTGTCAGAGTTCACTTACGAAAAGCAGCCCACACTGTGAAAGCCAAGCTAATGTGCTGCCACCCCACTGTAAAACCATAACCAGAATGACTGTTCATCTTTTTATTGCCTCATGTCCCACCAAGTCTGCCTACCATTGTGACCTTGTTTGTAAGGCAAATTTAGAAATGGGGGTTTTAGGAGTCCAGGCCCACAACTCAAGGGAGGAAACGAAAGGGAATAAATGTGCCTGACCACGAAGAATAAACACAGTAAAATAAAAATTAAATGTGTTTTAAAAGCTACATTTTAAATTTTTTTTTTTTTTTTTTTTTGAACGGAGCCTTCCTGTGTTGCCCAGGCTGGAGTTCAGTGGTGGGATCTCAGCTCACTGCAACCTCCACCTCCCAGGTTCACACTTTTCTCCTGCCTCAGCCTCCTGAGTAGCTGGGACTGCAGGCGCCTGCCAACACGCCTGGCTAATTTTTTTGTCTTTTAAGTAGAGACGGAGTTTCACATTGTTAGCCAGGATGGTCTGGATCTCCCGACCTCGTGATCTGCCCTCGGTCTTTTTTTTGTTTTTTGTTTTTTTTTTTTGAGACACAGTTTTGCTCTTGTTGCCCAGGCTGGACTGCAGTGGCGCAATTTCGGCTCACTGCAATCACTGCCTCCCGATTCCAGCGATTCTCCTGCCTCAGCCTCCCCAGTAGCTGAGATTACAGGTATGCACCACCGTGCCTGGCTAATTTAGTAGAGATGGGTTTTCATCATGTTGGTAAAGCTGGTCTTGGACTCCTGACCTCAGGTGATCTGCCCACCTCGGCCTCCCAAAGTGCTGGGATAACAAATGACTTCTTTTAACACAAAAGTCCAATGTACTATCACTGTACTAACTACAAGAGTAGACAACAAAAAAAAAACCATTTTATTGGATGACACTATGCCATAGGCAATGAGTTCCTCTAATTGAGCACAGGTTAAAAGTTGAGACATGACCATTTTCATCGCATCCATGAAGCTCTGTGGCTGTACTTACAATCTCAATTGGAGGAAAAATCTAACATCTACATTTGAGGTTCATGAGTCTGAGGCCTTGTTTGATTGGCCCTCCTGTGGATATCCCCTCACCCCATTGGCCCCAAGCCTACACATCTTATTAGATTTGAGCTTAGTCCTCTGAGTGGGGTCTTGGAACCAGGAGTCTGGCTCTTGGAATATCTCCATTAATGTTTGCTGAGTTTTTAAATACATTTTTTCAAAAATAGGGATTACAGGATAGCGGTTAGGTTCTAATGAGAAAAAAGAGATCGGAAATATGAACAGGGGTTTCCAAATGCTGCTCCACTTATTTTTTAGATATCAGACTCTGCAATCCCCTTCCTACATTTATCCCTGCATGGCAATTTTTACCAAGTGCTTCCATAATATAATCCAACTTACAAATATTTATATTATTCACCTGAATTCAATATTGTGAAGTTAAGAACCATATGTCTTCAATAATTCCTTAACAGCCATATGATTATAACTCAAATCCAGGAATTCTAATTCATTCTGGAAGCAGATACCTCTCAGATACACTCTCAGTATACTCAAGTCCTCTATAGTCTTACTCAAAAGGAGGCAAAAGTTATAGCTGCACTGGAAACATCTGAGCCATTCCAGATTCTTCAGCCTAGCAAGGTTAAAGTCAGACCTTGAAAACAATTGAGTTCACTGGGGTCCAGTATCTGGACCTTTTATGCCATATATTCATATATCTACTTTCCTATTTTGAAATACAAAGCAGCACCAAATTTACACAAATCTTTTATTTCCCCACCTTCAGACAGAGTCTCCCTCTGTGGACCAGGCAGGAGTGCAGTGCCACAAACAGGGCTCACTGCAGTCTCGACCTCCTAGACTTAAACAATCCTCTCACCTCAACCTCCACAGTAGCTGGCAGCAAGGTGCATGCCACCACCTTGGGTTAATTTTTTTATTTACTGTAGAGATGGGGTCTCCTCATGTTGCCCAGAGTGGTCTCAGACTCCTGACCTCAAGCAATCCTCAACTTCAGCCTCCCAAAGAGCTGGGATTACAGACCTGAGCCGCCATGCCCAAATTCACACAAACCTATACCCCCAGCTCAGACTCTGATGCTGCAGACCTGGATTCTTTCTTATTTACTAAATGACTCTTTTGAAAGCCCCCAGACAATTCTAAATCCAGTCTTACTCAACCTGAAGATTCCTGATCTTGGTTAATGACAAACATATATATATGTTTGTCATCACATATATATATACACACACACACACACACACACATACACACACACACACACGCAAAATTCACAAATTTTATCTTAGAATAAATTTTATCATTTCTTGCTTCCTTGCATCCTTGCTTCCTCTCTAACTCTAAATCTAACCAGGTGACTGAATGCTTCATGGCATATACTTATCACCCTCTACATCAGCATCCCCCCTTCCCAGGAGAAATTGCATCTTCCCTTTCACTTTCCTCAGCAAAGGATTCCTGGTAACTCCATCCAGAAAGATTCTCCTGGTGTTCTTCAGATTTGAGGAAAAGCAGATTCCTCTCACAAGGCTGCTTGTTAGTTCAAATGAGCACCATGACATTCATGAATTCCATTATACTGTTAAATCAGAATTCTGCTTCCAGAAGCCCAAATTCACAATATCCTGAAGCACCACTGATTTCCTCCTACAGGAAAGATAGACACACACACATAATTGTTAGTCAAGAGTTTATCGGTCACCAAAATTGGGTAAACTCTTGGAACTTGTCAGTGAATACAGCCCCAAATTACTGCAGCAAATGGAACCAGGAAGAAGAAATTCTGTGGAGGAACTGTGAGGAAGAACATGGGTGGAGGTGCATTGGAGTGGTAGTCACACGGCTCCACTGTACCCTGCAGGGTCTAGTGGATCCTGAGGTTTAAATCTATCAAACATTTGTAGAGTGTTCCACAAAACAAACAAACAAAAAAACCCCACAAAACCCTGTAAGTTACAGGTAAGCTTAGGACAGGCAGGAAATTGGGAGGGTGAATCTTCAATCCCAGAGACCAATGGCAAATGGTTCATTTTTTTAGGTGAACCAGAGGCATAGTGGAGCCCTCCATTGGCACCAAGCAGAATTCTTCACTTTCTTCTCTAGATTACTTACCCTGGGACATTTTTACCTTTCACTTTCTGTCTAGACTGCTCCATAGTCTTTGTTTCCACCTGCTCTACTACAGTTATAACTGTTACCATCTTTTCTGAGTCTAAAATCAAGAACCAATACCTGACAAAGAAGTAGATTGTTAAAACCAAGAGTTTCTCTATATCAGGAAAGTATTAATATGAATTCCTGCCTCCTAATTTATTAGTTGCCCAGCTTTCTGCAACATACCAACTGACCAGAAGATTCACCTGTACATACCACCTGAGTGTTGGGGACTTTTTCTTTCTTTCATCCCTCCCACCCCCCACCATTTTTCTGTTTTGTGTCACTTTCATTTGGTTAACGATATTCTAACAAGATTTGTCATTATAGTTCTCTTAGTTTGATGAGATTTTTCTTCATGAAATTGAACAAAAATATCAATCTTTCTTAATTCTTAATTCTTTATTGTTTTGGATGACACATCAGGAAGGGAAATAGGAAAGGCTCTACATCATTTGTTGTATGTGCTCCACAATTTGCCCTCAAGTTTGAATCCTAGGTCCTACCACCCACACGAAACTGCCATTGCCAGCCTGCTCCAATTCTACCCAATATCTAGCCATTGTCATACTACAAAGTTCCTATGACCTCCTCCGAAGGGGCTCAATTCTGTACTTCACCTCTTCCTGACCTCCCTGGAATCCGCCTCGCCTCCAACCACACTGGAATTAGAATTTGAATTCTGCAACTACCTTGATGTCAGTCTCTGTAGGGGAGCAGCCTGCAGCCTCCTATGGACTCCCATTAAGACAGGTTATTCCTTCCATCTAGGGGGTGCTGATTGCAACTTTTTTGCTAAGATGAAAAGCTGGAATCAATGAGAAGAGAGGAGTTACGGCAGGTATTTTGCTTTGCAATGGCTCCAGACTGCTCTTCTATTTGATAAAGTAGCTGTAACTATGTAGGTGGGAACAGTGCAGTTTTTTCTTTATTCTCCCATCCACAAAACCAGGAGGGAATTGGAAGGGCCTCAAACACCAGGGAATGTTTTGGCTAGCTGAAGATGGGGTAAGGAGATATTGAGGCAAATATCTTGAGAGAGGGTGAGAATTACAAGGCCAAAATGGATTTCCTTACCAGGCAGGGCATATCTCTTCCTTTGTTCTGGCATGGTCTCTACCTAGGATCCCCCAGGGAAAGGATAGTTTGGTTTGCACAGGAGCAGCAGTGGTGAAAATGGGCAATGATGAGTGTGGATGGAGATGCTCGTGGCAGCGTCTGTAGGTCTCTTTGAGAGGGCTCAACTCACAAAGTGCAGATTTTTATTAAAATATAAATGCTTGTGGAAAAGGACATTTTCCTACTGAGCAGTGGCAGTTCCATATTTCTTCTCAGATAAAAAAAAAAAATAGGCCTCAGTCTGATTGAAAATGAGGAGATGGAGGATTTGAGCACTTACAAGTACATCTGCATTGCGTTTCCCAGAAGACAGCAAGAAATCAATGATGCATTTCGAAGATCATGCTGCTAGAGACAGAGAACCACAACTTGAGCTTTTCTCTGGGCTTAGAGAGGAGGTGTATGTCTCGCTGTCAATTCTACATCCAACGCTGGAGTCTTTCAGCCCATTTTTCTCCCCGGCTGTTTTTGAACTACTATCCTCAAATATCAAGGATATCTGACAGAGTGAACCATCAGAATAAGGAGCGATTGCCACAGAGTTCCATCCAGTAGGGGAGGGACTTGTGCGGGGCAAGCCTGATGCCTGGGTCAGGCGACACTGCGCCTTTCATTCCCCACGGAGATCTTGGACCTGGAGTTTCCAAGTTTCGAAGAGATGCGGTTATCGACGGCTCCCCTAGAACCTCTGATGGCTCTGAAGGGGGACAAAGGTCTAGGGCAGAGGGATGGTGTGGAAGGACCCAGCCACGGCCATTGGAAGAGCAGTTTCCTGCAGTGTAAAGCTGTTTGCCACCTGCACAGCTTTGGCTCTCTGCCAGGACGAACCACATCCGCCCCATTCACGGTCTTTATTCCAGCTCATTTCCCTCTGCGAATCACACTGGGTGGGTCGCTGGGGCCCTCGGTAATTACGGATCATGGCACAGCCAAGAAAAATACAGGTTTTCGTAAGCCTGAAGCCACTGACTTGAGCGGAGACAGTAGGAGTAATGCCAGCAGTAGTTTTGTGTTCCGTTTTCGTTTTTATGTTCTAGTCACTAGGCCACAAGAGAATGTTCCACCCAGTGCCAGTCGATCTGTCACGGCGCCCCACCTTCCCTGAACGGAGAGTTTGTGGCTGACATCTCCAGTTTCTCAGAGCCTGGGAGTGATCGCTGGCTGCACCGCTGATGGCGCCCAAAAGAACGGGCATTTGTCTTTGGCAACAGCGCTGGCTTTCGCCTCGTGCCCGCGCTTGAGAGGTCCTAGCGCCGCCTGATTCTCACACTAGCGGGTCCAGCGCCCAGCGCTGCTCCTCCCACCAATCATCGGTTTTTCACACTCACTTCATTGGCAGCACTGACCGGTCAGTTTTCTGGTGGCGGCGACGCTAGTTGGTCTGAATGAAACGTTTCCCTTCTCTCTCCGTGTGTCCCATTCTCCATCCCACGTCCTCCAGTGCCGGGGTCATGGTCGCAGCACCCGGCGTTCATGTTGACTCTTTTGCCAGCTGCGTGGAGCCGGCGGTCTTTCTGTCACAGCACTTGTACAGACTCTCTCGGCTGCCGAACGTTTCTTTTTTCCTCAGAGACGACGGTTTCTTGGTGATAGTGCCGTTGGCTGAGACGTAACGAATGTTCTCCTTGACAACCCCACAGGCTGGCGTCCCTCGCAGGCTCCAGACGCAGCCATGTCGCCAAGCTGAGATCTCTTGGTTGCGGCACTGCTCCTGGCTCGGTGCCTGCATTTTCTCGGTGGCTACAGCGCTCAGGTCGCCGATCTGAGGGCTTCGGAGTACCGGCCGGGCGGGCTGGCTCACGCCTGTAATCCCAGCACTTTGGGAGGCCGAGGCGGGCGGATCACGAGGTCAGGAGATCGAGACCATCCTGGCTAACACGGTGAAACCCTGTCTCTACTAAAAATACAAAAAAATTAGCCGGATGTGGTGGCGGGCGCCTGTAGTCCCAGCTACTCGGGAGGCTGAGGCAGGAGAATGGTGGAAACCCTGAAGGCGGAGCTTGCAGTGAGCCGAGATCGCGCCACTGCACTCCAGCCTGGGTGACAGAGCAAGACTCCATCTCAAAAACAAAAACAAAAAAAAAAAAAAAAAAGGAAAAGAAAGAAAGAAAGAAAAAAGAAACATAAATCTGTGTACCAGGGAATGTGATTTTTTTGAGTTTACCGATGATCAGGTTACCAGTGCCTGGGAGCTCTTATACTAAGTTTGTTTTCGCAGTATCGAGTCCTGCCTTAGCTAAGCTTGTGTGTTTTTTAAACTGCCATGGAAGTCAGGAAATGTCGGCAAACGCGATTTCTGGTTATCAAGCTCCGTTTACAATAGCAAGTCTGGCCGAACGCGACTTTTTCCTCTTGTGGACCAAGTCTGAATATACCAACTACAGGGATTTTTCAGTCGAAATCAAAAAGGTTTAGCCCTGACGGGTTTTTTGTGGTTGGTGGTGGTGATGTTGTTTGTTTGTGTGTTTTTCGTAGGAAATGTAGACTTAGGTGTAACATGTACCGGTTTAGATCTGACAGAGATAGCCTAATCGTAGAATTGCATCTTTTAGCAAAGTTTGTAATTTATTCTTTGTAGGGTTGCTTCTCTGTAATTTTTGCTTATTCTTAAATTTTCTCTTTGTGTCTTTTGCTCTGAGAACGATGTTACCTATGTGTTTGCTTTCCATGTTTGCTTGCATTTTAGCCTTTCATTATTTTTTAATTTTATTTTTATTTAAATGTTATGTATTTTTTAATACTAATTTTGAGCGTCTCCGCTTCCTGCTTCTTTACTTACATTCTCTCAGGATCCAGACAGTCGAGCTCGGTCTCAGTCTCGTTGCTGTCAGGTCCCCGGTTGTGTCTGGTGGCTCTGCTTGGTACGCAGAGCTGATGGTTTTGCATCAGCGCTTTTGCCAGTAGCGCCGACTAGCTTTTTTTCAGTTGAGGCACGGTTCTTAGCGCCCAATGTGACATTTCCCATTCGCGGGGTCCTTATGTTCTCGGTGCTGTCATTTTATTGGTTCTCGCACCGCTAGTATCTGCTAAGAACTTCCTAAACCACGTTTTACTGTGCAGAACTGTGATTGCACCGAGCCGCTGTACGCACTAGTAATTTCATAGCACCGTTAGCCGGCGCTTTTTCTGTCACAACACATTAAAACGGGTTAAAATACTTTAAGCGGATTAAACACATTAAAAGGATTAAAACACAGTAAATTGTCTCAACACATTTTTTCTGACATAACACATTTAAAAAGAGTGGGTTCATTCCTCCAAACAGGCTGTTTAGGCGTAGAAGCACCGGTCTTTCCCAAGAGCACGGTTTGTCTCTAGCAGCACCGTTTATGGCACCAAAACAGGTATTTGTTTGGCAACACCAGCGCTATCCGCTAGGTGCCGGCGCTTGCTGAGTCCCAGCGCCGCCAGTTTCTCTTTAGGTCCTAAGTAGCTCAAAGCCCTAGCGGACAGTTTTCAGGTGGCAGTAATGCTCATTTCCTGGAAACAGATGGTTCTTAGTCCTTGAAGCTCTGCGATCTGTAACGCTAGTTCTCTGTAAGGTTTGCTTAGTGTCCGTTTTATTTCAGTTTCTTTTCTCGCTATGGTTTTCTGTCGGAATTACAGTTTGTTTTGGTTCTATGTAATCTCTAAAATGTTACCGTTTTTCATTTGTCTACTAATTTTCATGCATTCATTACTATTGAGTTTCATAATACCTGGCTTGCCTCCGCCCACGGCCTCCGGAAAGCATAAATACCCAAGCTGATGCGAGTGCTGAAGGCTCTGTCTCATTAATCAGCACAAACGTTTTGTGTTCTGCTCTAAGGTTTAAGCAATGGAGCAAAGTTTTCTTGGCTGTGCAAAGTGGACTTGGGATTCCGCAGAGGTGACACCAGAGCCCTGGCCTCCACCTGCTCTGGGTTCAGAAGATTGTGGGAGGTGGCCTCTCCCTTTTTATCCAGTACTAGGAGAGTACTCATTGGACAGCTGTGACTTGGGACTGCTTTCCAGCCCTTGTTGGCGGCTTCAATTAAATACTCTATCGGAAAAATAGAAACTTTAAGCCCAAATGATTTTTCAGCTTCACCTGATTTAAGTAAATCTTTAACAAATAAAGTATTTAAAATTATTAGTAAAATAAAATTAGAAATGTCTTCAGAATTGTCAAAACACATTATTGTTGAGATCTATTGGTCAGCGGTTTTTGATTTATCTCTGCTAGGTATTATAAGGCATGAAAATTTGGCTTGAAAGTTATAAATCTATAAATGCAACCCCAAACAGAATTATCTTTGTTCATGTAATTTTGGTAAATAAGGCATTTAATATCATTGGTTTAAAGAAAACAGCTAAATCCTGGATTACTGACAGAAGAGAAAAAACCATTTATTTAACCTTAAAGTTCTTACTTAGGTAAACATCTGATATCCACAGTCTATAATAATGGTCAACAGGGATGTAACTGTAACCGGCCCATATGTTCATTTTCCCTGTTGCCCAGATACAGTTGATTTGTCAAGACAGCGAATTGCAATAAAGAATTTAATACACATAGAGCTGGCTAAATTGGAGACCTGAATTTTATTATTACTCAAATCAGGCTCCCAGAAAATTCAGAAGCCAAGGTTTTTCAAGGATAGTTTGGGAGAAGGGTGCTGCTGCTCAGCTGGGGAACAATTACAAGGGTGTGGAAAACAGTCCTCCTGCACTCAGTCCATTTCTTGAGTGGGGGCCACAGAGGAGTGGCTGATGCTGTTGGGGCCATCAAAGTCTGAAAAGTCATCTCAAAAAGCCAAACTTAGGCTCTAGTAATTAGGGAAGTTGCAAATCTTGTGACCTTTGGAATAAAGGCTGGTAATCCTTTAACTATACCTACATCTTAGCAGAAATCAGGCCCCTCTCATCCTCCTAAACTGGTGGGCTTTCATCAGTTTTATAAAGATGGTTTAGTTTTGGGTAGGGCTATTATCATATAAACTATAAACTATCAACTAAATTTCTCCCTAAGTTAGGTTGATCCATGCCAAGGAGTGATCAAGGGCTGTTTGGAGGTTAAAGGCAAGATGGAGTTGATTAGGTCAGGACTCTGTCACTGTCAGTATTTTCTCACTGTTAAAATTTTGCAAAGCTGGTGTCATGACTTTAAATGATGACTAGCTTTGTCTAATATCACAGATTTTATAAGTAATCTAGGTAAACTATTTTAAAAATTAATTAATTAGGTAAACATAATGGAATAAACGTAATGGAATAAACCTTCCATCCTGGGAGGCAAAGGTTGCTGTAAGCCAAGATCGAGCAACTGCATACCAGCCTGGGTGACAGTGTGAGACTCTGTCTCAAAAAAAAAAAAAAAAAAGAAAAGAAAAGAAAAGAAAAGAAAAGAAAAGAAAACTGAGATTTTAAAAAATTATGGTTATTATATCCATGTAACTTTCTGTATTTCTTTTAAAGTTCTTGTGCTACTAATTTTCTTGTGCTTATAAGTAAACATACAATTTAGAATCTTAAAGTTATATTGACTTATACTCATTAAATGTCCAGGTCCTGTCCAATTTTTTAAAAATTGTAGGAAAACATTTTTCCAAAAAAAAAGTGTTCTTATTAAAAGGAAAATAATTGTGTCTAATTCACAGATTATTTGTGAAACAAGATAAAAGGAAACAGAAAAGAGAGAGATAGGCCAGGTGTGGCAGTCTGTAATCTCAGAATTTTGGGAGGCTAAGGCCGGCGAATCACTTGAGATCAGGAGTTCAAGACCAGCCTGGCCAATAGGGTGAAACCCCATCTCTAATAAAAATACAAAAATTAGGCCGGGCACAGTGGTTCACGCCTGTAATCCCAACACTTTGGGAGGCCAAGACGGGTGGATCACGAGGTCAGGAGATCAAGACCATCCTGGGTAACACGGTGAAACCCCGTCTCTACTAAAAATACAAAAATTAGCCAGGTGTGGTGGCAGATGCCTGTAGTCCCAGCTACTCAAGAGGCTGAGGAAGGAGAATGGTGTGAACCTGGGAGGCGAAGCTTGCAGTGAGCCAAGAGCACACCACTGCACTCCAGCCTGGGTGACAGGGCAAGACTCCATCTCAAAAAAAAAAAAAAATTATGTTATCAAGTTGGCTATAAATAAAAGGAAATTATAATAGTCTTTCTAGAGACTGGGCTTTGATATAAAAATACATCAATACTCAAAAGACTTGGTTAGAACAACATTTTTGTAAAATATTATTTACTCTTAATAAATTGTAAGATAATTTACCCTAATTTTCAACTTTTATTGCATTTCAATGTTTTCAGCTTTCTCTCTATTTATTTATTATTATTATTATTATTTTCTCTATCTCTCTCTTTTTTTTAAGATGCAGTCTCCCTCTGTCACCAGGCTAGAGTGCAGTGGAGAGATCTCGGCTCACTGCAAACTCCACCTCCCAAGTTCAAGCGATTCTCCTGCCTCAGCCTCCCAAGTAGCTGGGACTACAGGTGCACGCCACCACACCCAGCTAATTTTTGTATTTTTAGTAAAGATGGGGTTTCACCATGTTGATCAGGGTGGTCTCGATCTCCTGACCTTTGATCTGCCCACCTCAGCCTCCCACAGTGCTGGGATTACAGGCTTGAGCCACTGCACCAGGCCTCTCTCCTTTTTAAGGCCTGAGATGATAACTCTCTCCTTCAACTTTTTTTCAGCTCCTGTAACTTTTTTCCTTAGGTTTTAACTGTGGTTTGTGGTCTGATGCTAAAAAATACTTCATATTTAGGATGCAAATGAAATGTTTTCTTCTAATATAACATTCTATGCTCTTGACTTTTTAAAATATCTAAATTGTTCTATGAAACCAAAAAACTTCACTTATGTCCTGGGACACACTTTTCCTATGTCTAATTAATTCAAGTGCCTTTTTCATTAGTTTTGACTCGAAGGTTATCTAAATGGAATCCCCATATGGAAAAGCACATCCTTTTTTGCCTTTTGGTAGCCAGCCTGAGAATAACATATTTTACATTTCATCAGACTAATTCCTACATCATTACTA